CTCACCTCGCCTCCCTCATCCTTCCTCCCTCCTCCTCCCTCCACCATCCTCCCCTGCTCTCCGCTTGCCCGTCCAATTCTGGCACGCCTCGCGCGGTTCATGGCCCCATGGAGAGCTCCACCGAAGGCCCCAGTGGCACCTATTTCGGCGCACCTCTCACACGGCTCGTGACCCACAGGGAGTTCCACCGAAGGCTCCAGTGGCAGGGTCCGCATGTGGGGACCGCCACCCATTTAGGCACACCCGTCACACGAAAGCCACATTGGCAGGGTCCGCACGCAGGGACCGCGTCCTGGGTTTCTTGGGTCTCGATGGTTCTGCGATGGCAAGCGTGACCTTCCCACAACAAAAACCAATGGACGTCCTGGGGTCTCAGGATTGGGTTTCTTGTGGAATGTTTCTTGTAGTCGAGTTCCTGCTGTAAGGGTGGTTGGCGAATTCTGTCCACCGGTGCAAGCGGCGCCAGAGGCGCCCCAAGGGGCTCCAGCGTTGTCCCAAGAAATCCACGTGGACACCCGAAAGTTTCTGTTTATGCGGATGTTCGCTTTTTAGGACCGAGGTTCGATCGGGGATCGAGGTTTGGTCCTCGCGCGGTTCGTCTCTTTTCTGTTTCCCTTGCCGTCTCGTTTCGCTGTTCTATGGCGAAAACTCTGCATTCATGCTCGTGCATTTGGCGTCTCGGCGGCAGTGTTTTTCTCAATCGCGGCGTGTTTCGTAGCTTTGCCCCTAGGAGGAGCGGGGAAGGGAGCATCGAGGATAGAGGTTCCATCGAAAGGCCAGAAGGGTCGAGACCCTCGAGGCTCGAGGGACCAGATTCGAGGCAAGAACAACGAGGCTCTCGAGATGCGAGGGGCCACGATCTCGGCCTCGCCGATATCGGCGCGGACCGTGCTGGGAGAGGCGGCGCTGGCTGCAGGGCACGGCGGCTCGGAGGGACCGGGAGCTGGGCTCGAGCGTCGGGGCTCGATCGAGGGGCCAGGAGGGTCGAGGATCGAGGTGGCCTCTCCTCCTACGTTGCAGCTTCTTCTTCTTCTTCGTGGAGTGGGCCCACAGGGGATCTCGGCCATTTCCCCGGGGCCGGCTTCTCATCCCGAGTCGCTGTTTGACGGTCCCAGGTCCCAGGGCCGGCCCCCAGTCACAAACAGCAAAGAAAGCATCAGCATAGCTTCGAAATTCTGGCCAGAGCGGACCTCAGGAGAGGCCTTAGGCTCGATGCTCGAGGGTCCACAATTTCAGCTTCCGACGATGTGTTTTTTCAATCGCAGCCTCTGCGGGCTGGTTTCGGACCCCGGGTCACCAAATATGGATTTAGGACGAAGAATTTCCCCCCGGCACGGGTTCGGGACCTTTAGGGCAGCGGATTTGAAAGTTGACATTGTCGGATGTTTGGGATCGAGGCTCGATCGATGGGCCAAGGGGATCGAGGCTCGAGGATCGAGGATCGAACATCGAGGCTCGAGGATCGAACCGTACACCCAACGCAGTTGTCGAATAACAAGTGCATAGATGTTCAATTGTTTTCGGCCTCCAGGGGCCCTGTCTGGGTTAAGGGCTGTAATGACGGCCTTGGGGAAATAGCCGGTCGTCTTGAAACACATACATCGGAAATTAGGGGAGGTGCTTTCTTTGTTTCTCTGTATCCGATGTACGGGGGTATTGTTTCCCTCTCTTCCTTGCGCAATGGTTTCTACATCGCTCATACTCAGTCCCACTCATGATCAGACCTGTCATCCATATCCTGCCACCCAGGTGGACGATAGCGATCCAATCTGGGCCCTTCCATCCGACACGTTAACAGCAAGACAAAGCTTACGTTTCCCCTTGCAAAATGAACAATTGTGAAGGCCTGACGGCCAGTGCCGCCGACCCTGAAAGACCTCGACGGCGACCAGGAGGAGGAGGAGGAGTAGGAGGAGGAGGAGGAGGAGGAGGAGGAAGAGGAGGAAAAGAAAGAGGAGGAGGAGGAGGAGAAGGAGGAGGAGGAGGCGGAGATAAGGAAGAGGAGGAGGCGGAGATAAGGAGGAGGAGGAGGAGGAGGAGGAGGAGGAGGAGCTTACGTTTCCATCTGCAGAATGAGCGATCTGTCGCTGTCGCTGCAGAAGGCGTGGCAGGCATCTCGGGCGGGGCGCGCGCTCCGAGCGACAAGGCGAAACGTCGCCCTCGCCTCAGCGCCGCGCTTATCTCACTCTTGCGACTTCAGCTCACCTCCTCCTCGTCCTCCTCCCTCCTCCTCCTCCTCCTCCTCCTCCTCCTCACCTCCTCCTCCTCCTCCTCCGCATCGCTCCGCATCTCCCGCATCCTCCTCCTCCTCCTCCTCCGCCTCCGCCTCCTCCTTCTCCTCCTCCTCCGCCTCCTCCTCCTCCTCCTCCTCCTCCTCCCTCCTCCCCTCCTCCTCCTCCTCCCCCTCTCTCCTCCTCCATCACCCCCTCCTCCTCCTCCTCCTCCTCCTCCGTCTCCTCCTCCTCCTCCACCTCCTCCTCCATCACCCTCCTCCTCCTCCTCCTCCTCCTCCTCCTCCTTCTTCTCTTCCTCCTCCACCCTCCTCTTCCTCCTCCCGCCTGGGCGCGCGCGGCGCAGCACTTTTGCCTTCCAGTTCGTCGATGTTGGGATCGCGCGCGGACGGGCGAAATGCCACCTTCGCGTCGGCGCTGCAGAGTTCGCCCGAAGGCGGCGCTCCCGCTTGGGTGCGGCGCGAATGTCTGCACTCGCCCAGAAGCGGCGTTCTCGCTCTGGCGCGCGTGCATGCTGTCTGCGGCTACCCGTGAGAGTGGACCTTCGCCAGAGTGGCCTGGCTTTGGTGCTGGCCCAAAGGGTGTCGGGACATTTTCCCTGGGATTGAGCTCGGCCTCGCGTCGGCGCGCGCAGCGTGGGGCTGCGCTCGCATCTCGGCGCGCCAGAGTTGGGCCCCCCCGCGCCGAGGGGGGGGGGTCCTGGTTGACCGTGCGTCACGTCTTGGAGCACCAAAACAGGTCCCGAACCCAAACCAAAATCCCAACTCATCCAGTTTGTACAAGTTTGAAGAACTCTGAGTAGCATCGGAGACGAATCCCAATACACTGAAATCCTCACAATTGAAATGTATTCGCGCCCGTTGGGGAGGGGGGGGCGCGGGGGGCCTGGTTTTGGCCACGTCGCTGGGCCGGGTCAGACGTTATCGCGATGCGGTTCGTGGTGGTGCCCGGCAGCGTCTGCTTTCGCAGGGCCTTCGGGCTGCCGTTCAGGGCGGCCGAATCGAACTGGCGGAATTCCGCAGTTGACCGCTGGCGCTAAGGATCTTCGGAGGTGAGTCCCGCCGGGTGTTGATGCGATGGGGCGGCAGCGGCTTGCGTGGTTGCGCTGGGCCCCCCACGGGCGCGCCCGAAACCAAAGATCGTTGTTGCAGCCGGTTTTCGTTCGCCGAGCCACCTGAAAGTGGCGCGGCAGCGGGGCCGCGCGAAATGCTGTTCTCGCCCAATCACCGCGCCGACTTTTTGCGCGAAAGTAGCAGTGCTGTTTCGGTGCGGCGCCTGCGTCGTCTCTGCCACGACCGTCGAAAACTTGGCCGCCCAGAAGAGGGCAGGCAGTATTTGGGTTGCCGCCTCAGCGCCGCGCGCATGGTTTCGGAGGTTCCGCCTCGGCCCGTGCACAGCCCGCATTTTTGCGCCTCGCCAAGTCGTCGGAAGCGAAGCTGCGCGCGAGCGCCTTCCGTTAGCTAGGTGGGATCGCGCTCGAGTCCCAATGCCAAGTTGCGCCACACTTGATTGTTATGCGACTGGAGGGGAAGGTGGGAATGGGCGGGACCCTTTGACTCGTTCGACCTGGCTAACTTGACACAAGACCCACCCGAATGCGAACTCATTGCGATTGATCTTCGCTCACCCTACGGCCAATCATGTAGTCACGTCAAGTCATACACACACGCACGCATTCATAATCAGACCCATCCGCGCTCAGGCACACTCACACTCATGCTCGCTCGTATTGATACCCACTCATGTTCAAATCCGTTCACATTCACATCATCAAGATCAAGACTCATTCGCGCTCAGACTCGTGTACACTCATAATCACTTACACTCAGACTCACTTATACTCAGAGTCGCTCATACGCAGCTCTGCTCATACACAAAGGCATGGCACTTAAACCCCCTGACAGGGGAGCGGGCCAGAATGTTATCGGGGACCCATTCGCGCCCATCCGGGCCCTTTGGCGGGCCCCAAATGTATGTTGTTGACGCCCGATCTCATCGCGATGTAGCAGGCACGGCGCTTGGGCACCCCAGTCCGACCGCGGTGTCATCCCAGGCCCGTTCGCGGCCAGGTGGCGGGGACGTCCCAGGCCCAGGTAGAATATTCGCGTTGACGGGGCAGACATGTTGTTTTCTCGAACCTCCACACCATAGCAATGTAGCAGACATGGCAATTTGCTCTCCCGAAGAGCGCTGACTGAGGTGTTATCATTGGCCTGTTTGCGGCCAGATTGGGGGGATGTCTCAGGCAGACTAGCCCCTTTGGCGCAGCAGACGTGTGGCCTTGCAGAGCTCCGAGATCATCGCGATGTAGCAGGCATGGCACTTGGGGGCACCCCAAGGGCGAGCCTACCAGGGTGTTGTTACGGGCCTCTTCGCGGCCACAGTGTGGCGCTGTTTCAGATAGAGCAGGCCTCATGGGGGGTTTGAAGCGTCTCTTTCCACAACCCCAGAACCATCGCGATATAGCAGGCATGACAACGGGCCTCCCAAGGGAACCGACCAGGGTGCTATCACGGGCCTGCGTGGTGAGGATGTCTCAGGTAGACTGGCCGCGCTGGCGGGGTAGACGTGTCTCTTCTCATAGCCCTAACAGCATCGCGATGTAGCAGGCACGACACCTGGGCACCCCTATGGGCACCCACCCCACTTGGGATCGCTCCGGGGGGCCCTCGTCGCCTCGGCTGGATTCACCTCTGAATCATGGTCGCGGCGCTGGCCAGGAGAGGCCCAGGCTGCATCGGCGTCGGGCGCCTTCTTGCTCCCCGCCAGGGCGAGAGAGTACGTGCAGAGCGCCATTATCGGGAAGAGCGGCAACGGAGTGTGCTGCGCAACGGCGCTTGCCAGCTTCACCATGGCCCTTGGCCTCTGGAACGTCGCCGCAGACGGCGTGCTGCCGAGGTTCAGAGGAGCAACAGATCATGATAATGATGCGTTTCAGGATGTCCTGGATGTCCCAGACTTTCTCATGTTCCACACGGGCTGCAGAAACGAGGGCCGCTAGATCATCAGGACATCCTGGAGCGTATCTTGAGCCAATCCTGTCATGGCAGCATTCTCGGCCTGGAGGTGGGCGAAGATCTACCTGCACGTGTTCGAGGTGATGTGCGAGACCGCCGTCCTCGCCTGCCTGGCGGGCTGCTGCTACGACCTCGTGTTCTCGGGGAGCCTCCCGAACGCCGCGAGGTTTGTCAAGAGCCTGGCGCTGTGCACCGACAACATCGAGGACCGCGCGCACCTCCCTCCCCTCCTCCAGGGAGGCGTGCCTCGTCTTCCCCACGTCGGGTGGGGAGGAAGGGCGGCTGTCGAGTGCGGTCGCTCTCTCACTCGTGCCGCGCGCGCGCGTGCCGTCGAGCCCTGGCGTCCTGAGTCTCACCCTCTCCTTCCGCCCGGCCAAAACAGACGACGACGACGACGACGACGACGACGACGACGACGACGACGACGACGACGACGACGACGACGACGACGACGGCGGCGGCGGCGGCGGCGACGACGACGACGACGGCGACGACGACGGCGTTGGCGGCGGCGACGACGGCGGCGGCGACGACTCTTCTCCCCCCCCAAGGGCGCCCTCGAGGGCGCGAAGCTATTCGCGCTTCGCGCTTCGGCTCCGATTCCTCCTCATCCTCCTCTTCTCCCCTGGGAGGCGGCGCGAGAGCGCGAAGCTGTTCGCACCTCGCGCTTCGCGCAGCGCGAAGCGCGAAGTTAGGAGCCCTTGCCCCCCCCCACCCCCGACCAGCAGAGCAGCCGAGGACCACGCGCACTGGGGGGACGGCCCCGAGGCCTGCCGCGGGCACGGGCCCGCGCGGCCCGCGAGGCCGGACGCGAGGCGGGCCGCGCTGCTGTGGGCGGCGCTGCTCGCCGCCCTCGCCTGCGTCATCTTGGGGGGCCACAGACGAGCCCCACCCCGACCCCCCACGAGTTCTGAGGGGGGGGGGGTCACTTCGCTTGGGAGCTCCCGAACGAAGCGAACCCCACCCCACCCCCCTCAGAAGTCATGGGGGGTTGGGGAGGGCTCGCATATAGCCCCCTATCATCTTCGACGCGGCGACGCGCCACCGGCACGCGTGGGCTGCGACGGCCCTGGACGTCTTTGGCGTCGTCTGCATCTCGGGCATCGCGTTCGCAGTCGTCACGCGCGCCGCAGAGACCGGCCTCGCCGCGGTCTCTGCGCTGGCCCGGGTCCACGTGGCGACGAGCTCTGGACGTCTTCGCCGTCCCTGGCCAGGTCCACCGTGGGCCCCAGAGGGGCGCGTGTCTGTCTCCCTGGCCAGGCCAAATGGGCGCATACCCGAGGCTGGGCCTGGCCAGGCGCGGTGGACACGTGTAGATCTCGTCGCCCTCAGGTCGAAGAAGAGCAATTGCATACAGAGGGAGCTCATGCCAAGAAACACCCTGTTTGCCTCGAGGGTGCCCTGGGTTTCATGGGTTTCGATGGATCTACGATGGCAACGTGACGTCCCCACACCAAAAAAACAATGGGCATCCTGAGGTCTCAGGGTTGGGTTTCTTGTGGTCGAGCTCCTAAACTTTAGGTAAACATGTTTTTCGGAAGTCCACGCGGACTTTCCGTGTCGTCGCTAGAACCCCCCGCCCCCGGCGCGATCCGCGCGCTGGGGAGGGGGGACCAGCGCCGGTCCTGGAAGTCCGCGCGGGCCTCCGGAATCTCATGTTTAGGACATCCGACGATGTGTTATTTTCCGGCCCGCGGCCCCAGAGTTAGGTTGGGCATGTCTTCCTACAGGCGGATTTTGGACGAAGAATAAACGAATAGCCAGAACATGCCCCAAAATGTTCAACAAGATGCTCGAAACATCGTACCCCGACTATTTTTTTACTACTTTTGAATATTCCTCCTGTGGAGGGACAGGCCCGACTTCACCCCAGAGGTCCCCACTCCTCCTCCTGCTCCTCCTCCTCCTCCTCCTCCCTCCTCCTCCTACGTACCTCCTCCTGCTCCTCCTCCTCCTCCTCCTCCTCCTCCGTACCTCCTCCTCCTCCTCCTCCTCCTCCTCCTCCTCCTCCTCTTTCCCCAGGGCCAGCTTTTCTTCCCAAGTCCGCTTGGCCCGCGGCCCGCGAGCGGACCCGAGAGGCCGAAGCTCAGAAGAAGCGCCGGGATCGAAAAAACCGTGTCCTCCTCCTCCTCCTCTCCTCCTCCTCCTCCTCCTCCTCCTCCTCCAATCCTCCTCCTCCTCCTCCTCCCTCCTCCTCCCTCTCCTCCAATCCTCCTCCTCCTCCAATCCTCCTCCTCCTCCTCCAATCCTCCTCCTCCTCCCTCCTCCTCCTCCTCCAATCCCCTCCTCCTCCAATCCTCCTCCTCCTCCTCCTCCAATCCTCCTTCCTCCTCCTCCATCCTCCTCCCTCCTCCTCCTCCTCCTCCTCCCTCCTCCTCCTCCTCCTCCTCCTCCTCCTCCTCCATGAGGTCAACATCGCCTCTCTGGCCCCCCCGATCAAAGCCTCCCGGTGCCGCGAGCCGCGCGAGACGGACACCCTGCTGCCGGCGTGAGGGCGCTCACCATCGCCTTTCGCATGCCGCGAGGGGGGAATGAGGAGGCACTGAGGAAAACGTGTTCCGGACCCTGCGGCGTGCTGCGTCCTCCTCCTCCTCCTCCTCCTCCTCCTCCTCCTCCTCCTCCTCCTCCTCCCTCCCTCATCTCATCATCATCATCATCATCATCATCATCATCATCATCATCATCATCATCCATCTTCCTCCTCCTCCTCCCTCGCGGTCCGAAGTCCAGGCCGGGCGCTCTGCTTGCGCCTCACTAGCCAGTATTCGCCCGAAGAGTTACGTTTTCAGCAGCTGCACGGATGGAAGGCCAGTCGTTTTCAAAACGTGCCTGTAACTTCAGCGCCGCGCACATTCGTTTCACATGTTCCCGACGTTTACACAGATAGAGTCTGGATCGTTTTCAAAATGTGGCTCTCGCCGTAAGGCCACGCACGTGTGTCTTAAACGCTTCCAGCAGTTGTGTTGATGAAGAGCGGATCTTTTTTCTCGCCGCAGAGCCGCGCGCATTCGTTTCAAATATTGGAGTATCGTCAAGGATGGAGGGTGCTCGTTTTCAAAATGTGGCTCTCGCTTTAGCGCCTCGAACACGCGACTTATTATACTGCAGCAGCTTCAAAACTAGAGTGGAGTGGTTTTCACAATGCGGCTCTCGCGCGCTGCGCACATTCGTCTGAAACAAGTGCAACAATTTCAGAGATGGGGCAGTTCCTTTTGAACATGTAGCTCTTGCATTGCCGCCGCGCTCTGTCGTTTTCGACACATTCAACAGCTTCCAGGATGGAGCATAGGTCGTTTTCCGAATGGAGCTCTCGCCTTGGCGCCGCGAGCATTGCTCGTAAAAGCTTGGAGGACGGTTCTGGTTCACAATGGGGATCTCACGTTGGACTTCCTTGACTTTGAAGATCCGAAACTTCAAGGCATGCAACGCTGCACAGATCGAGGGCGGCTCATGTTTCAAACGGAGCTCTCGCTTGAGACTCCGTCGAAGTCGATTACCACAAGCGTGAACTTGCGTAGTGACACCACTACGGATGGAGGGAGTGGTCCGTTTTCGATAAGGGGATTTCGTTGGACACTTCGCTGCATGTATGACCATATGCTGTCGCATCCCTGATATTACGGCAGGCGGGTGCAAGACAGTTCCTTTTCAAGGCGGGGTCATCATCAGAATGGCAGGCACATCTGTTATGGTGCTGTTTTTCAAGGGGGGCGCTTCTGTCAGCGGGAAGACTTGGGACGGGAGGGTGCATCCTTGGGAGGGACTTGGGACTCGAGAGTCGCTGATGCATCTCTGGTTTCCTCTGGTCTTCCTCCTCCTCTCCATGGGATTTCTAACCTTTTTGACATCCGAGGCCTTCGAGGGCCCTGGGCCAGGCAGCGGAAGGGGGAAGTCACACCGGGGCTCCGGGTGCCGGGTCGCGCCTCCCAGCATGGCCCTCCGCTCTCTGGCGGCTCTCTGAGGGCCTCCCCGGAAGCCTTCGGAGTGCGATGGCCCTCCGCTCTCTGGCGGCTCTCTGAGGGCCTCCCCGGAAGCCTTCGGAGTGCATGCCGTTCCTGGGCTGGCAGCGTACCCATCTCCACGGCCTCGCGGGCGGGGCCCCTCGGCCGCGACCCCGCACATACTCGGCGTTGTTTTTGTTCGCGGGTGGAGGTGGAAGTCATCCTGGGTTCGGGTCGCGCCTTCCAGCATGGCCCGCCGCCCGCCAGGCCCTCACCCTCCAAGCGGTGCCAGCGGTGAGAGCTCCCGCCCGTGCCGACGCTGGTCCGGCAGACGCCACGACCCCAGACCCGCGTGACACTGAGGTGCGTCATAAGGCCTCGGAGCCGCCCTCGGAGCAGCGCCGGCCGAGGGTCGCCAGGTTCTCGCAGGGCGGCTCCCTCGGGGGCTGCGAATGTCGGCGGCGAGCCTCCTCCTCCTCCTCCTCCTCCTCCTCCTCCTCCCTCCTCCCTCCTCCCTCCTCCCTCCTCCCTCCTCCTCCTCCCTCTCCCTCCTCCCTCCTCCCCTCCCTCCCTCCTCTCCCTCCTCCTCTCCTCCCTCCTCCTCCTCCTCCTCCCTCCTCCCTCTCCCTCCTCCTCCTCCTCCCTCCTCCCTCCTCCCTCCTCCCTCCTCCCTCCTCACTCCTCACTCCTCACTCCTCACTCCTCGGCCCTGCCGCCCTCGGAGCGCCCTCCAGTCTACACACCAGACCCAGGCCCTCTCGCGCTGTGACAAAAATCACGACGGGAGGTGTTGCACTATCTTCGGCCTTCG